AAACCACATAAATGCTTGGAGTGTGGAAAGAGCTTCAGTGTGAGCGCAAGCCTTTATAAACATCAAAGGATCCACTCAGGAGAGAAACCTTATAAATGCCTGGAGTGTGGAAAGAGCTTCAGTCAGAGGATCAGCCTTAACGTACATCAAAGAATCCATTCAGGAGAGAAACCGTATCAATGCCTGGAGTGTGGAAAGAAGTTCAGTTTTCAAGGAAACCTTTATGCACATCAAAGAATCCACTCAAGGGAGAAACAGTATAAATGCCTGGAGTGTGGAAAGAGCTTCAGTCAGAGGGGAGACCTTTATATACATGAAAGAATTCACCCAGGAAAAAAACCACATAAATGCGTAGAGTGTGGAAAGAACTTCAGTCAGAAGGGATATCTTTATAAACATCAAAGGATCCATTCAGGAGAAAAACCACATAAATGCCTGGAGTGTGGAAAGAGCTTCAGTCGGAGGGAAAACCTTTATACACATCAAAGAATCCACTCAGGAGAGAAACCATTTAAATGCCTGGAGTGTGGAAAGAGCTTCAGTGGGAGGGGAAGTCTTTCTAAGCATCAAAGAATCCACACATGAGGAAAAACCATATAAATACCTGGCAAAGACTGGCAAAAACTTTGGAATAAAAATATTAAGCTTACAAAAATGGTAGCATATAAAGAAAACTTACATAAGATGTTTTATAGATGGCATATGACACCAGTGCGCTTAGCGAAAATGTTTAAAAATGTTTCGGATATTTGCTGGAAATGTAAACAACAGCCAGGCACTTATTACCATGCCTGGTGGACATGCCCTATCGCTAAGAAATATTGGTCTAAGATCCATAGATGGTTGGAAAAGATGATGAAACTACAGATAGAATTTAAACCGGAATTGTTTTTGTTAAGAATAATTATGGTAAAGAGAATGACTATTTGATATTGCATGTTTTAACAGCTGCAAGGATAGTATTTGCCCAATTTTGGAAAAATGAGAATTTACCATCTGATCAGACTATAATTTCTAAAATTTTAGAGTGTGCAGAAATGGATAGACTAACATTAGAAATGAAAGAAAAAGATGATTCAATTTATTTTAGAACTTGGGAAAAATTTTATCAATGGTTAGAGACACGTTAGAACTTGAAGGATTCAATATTTTAGAATAAATGACTGATTTTTAACCGAGTTCTAACTAAAACTTTGATGATTATTTTTCTTGATTTTTATGATTATTTTTCTTGATTTACTGATTTTTATTTGTTACTTTTGATTGGTAGGAATTTTTGAGATTTTATTAGTTGTGTTTACTTAATAGATCAACGTATTTGTTTATTAACTGTTTTTAATATGTTATAGTCTAAGCTTCGGTAAAAATGGTTGAATATGATATTTACTCATTATTATGATCCGGACGGTAGCTTGTTTGTTGAAATATGTGATTGTACCTATCCTTATTTTACCCTAAATCCTTTATCCCCTTCCCCTTTCTTCCCACCCCCTCCCTTTACCATACCTGTATTG